TGATTTCAGTAGAAATATAATTAATCGACTGCTGAGCGGACGTAAACCTGCAAAATAATGGCTGTTAATTACACTACAAACCTATTATATGTGCTTTACATTAAATCAATTTTTCAAATGTGAACAAGATTATTTTCATGCATGTTATTTACATTAAAACATTTCCATAAAATATCTGCATTTTATCATAGTCACTTTATATACCATAAAAAGTTTAATTAATATTAATTGAAAAGTGTTTTACATACGAATCACGTTTAGTTTAATGATATAAAAAGTAAAAATTTAAACTTGAGCACAGATTATAATTAAATTAATTTTTATGTAAAATATGTTTTAATCAATTTTATCATTTATTTAATATTTTTAATGTTAAACAAAGTCAAATCTATTGCATAATATTTTGGTTTCATAAGAATAACAAAATAAGTTAAATACTTGCCTAATTAAATTCTTTGCTTAAATAAAGCCAAACAAAATTCATTGTATTGTTTTGTGACAGAATTTATATTTGTTTGATTATATATGATATGAAACACTTGTATTGTTGAGCTAAACATTGTTTGACTGCCTCTGAATGTAATTATGAAGTCAATGATTAGCCATAAAGGAGTGGGAGATAAGGGGTCCTCAAAGCGGCCTTTAAGACAATTATTGCCGATTTAAACCACGTTTCGTCTTATCTGACAGTCTTTCCGATCTAATAGTCAAACAAAAACGACTACTCTTTGGGTTTTACGGCCAAACAAACGCTACAAATAAATAATTCATTCATTGCATTGAATATATTTTATTAATGCATACATTTATAGTAAAAGTGATATTTTCTGTCAGTATTTAAATTACATTTTGCTTCACGAAACTCACTCTACAATCGATATGTTTATCATTACTTGATTTGATTCAAAATTTAATTATGAAAACAACTAATAATGAGAGAAGAAGACCATTGATTGACAATCGGCTCATTTCCTCTCTGGTGTCCACTTAACACGACTATCGGTTTCTGTCGTAAAATAATACCACAAATAGTTAATTGAACGCAAGATTCAAGTGTTTTGAATAAATATTTACTGTATATCGTGTCTCACAGTATTCACTGTTTGGACACGTGTGCGATAAGGCAAATAATAACATGGCTCATTTATTTTTCTATCCTATTTGTGGTAAAGTAAGTTTCAGTTGGTTTCAGTTCAGCTAATCTTGTTGGATTTGAAATGTTAGGTGTGTTTCACAAAAGTACGTTCGCACGTTTTAAGAAATCTTGATCCCTCTCCTTCTAAGTTTGCAATTGTTATCATGTAATCATTAAAAAACAATGATTACACAGCAATCCCATACGTTAACCACCATTTGGGTGATGCTCAAAGAATAGAATAAGCATTCTTCATTGATTTAATATAAGTCTTATAGTATTAGCATTGGTCCCATAGACTTAACATTGTCCATGTTAAACTTATGTCATAGACTTAAGCTATAATTCCATAGGAACTCATTGAAAATTCCTCAAATTGTTTAAATGCCAGAGTTCTTAAGGTCTCTACCCCTCCCCCGAAGTGCGAATGTATATGTGAACTCCCCCTATAAGTAATTGTGGCTCACAATAGCAATTCAAAATAATTAATAATATATGTTTAATCAACCTGGATATAAATAATAGCATTGATTTAATCAATATTTTAGTATTTACCGAGATTTACAGAGAAGTATAATAGCGGTACTGATATTACCAGCTGGAAAGAATTAATTAGAAATGTCATTAAAATAAGATAATAAATATTAAATGTATTGAATTTTTTAAATTCTTCAACAAAAAGCTTGTTTACATTAAACATCAAAATTTATACAAAATATAATACATTATGAAATGTATACAATTTTGTTGGCATTTCTACTTTTATTGACAATTGAGATTAATATACGGTATATTTCATATATCGGGCACAAGTATTAAGCGAATAATACTCTCACCGGTTGTCATCTTTTCTTAATCCTGTGTGACATATAATCCCATGAAATCACATAAAAAACAATGTAACCAATAATTATGTCATACAAAATGTGATCACAAATATTGGTCTTTCAACAAATATAAATTATATATAGGAATTTAAGTCTTGATATACAAAAACATATTTTCTTGAACACAATTCTGTAAATAAAGCAGTGTTTGTATTGTGAAGGCGTGTTGGCGTTGAGAAGTCATTTATGATACCAAATATATACCTATTTATATAAACCATTGTTACAAACAATACTCACCTAAAAGTGTGTATAGAATATGCCACTGAATCTAATGCCTGTGAACTACTATAATATTCACTAAAAGGTATCACAAAAAAAATTTATTTAAATATTTTATATTCTTTTGAGATTAAATTCTTAGCACTTTCTGAACAAAATGCATGAAAAGTCGATTCAAACGACAAGTTATGAACGGAAAGAAAAAATCAAAAGCTTTTTATTATAATATTTTACATAAAAACCTTAATATTCTTTTGCCATCAAATACTAAACCATTGATTGTATTATATTCAATACATTATACACTCGTATTGTAAGCTATAATATAATGTATTAATATAAATATTTTTTAAGTACATTTTCATGGGTGTAAAGATTTAATACATTTTTTCTAAGCGCTATAATGTGTTTTCAATGAAACAGATTTTTACGATATTTCATTATTGTTATGTCCGGCGCTAACGATAGCAACCATTTTATAATGTTTTCTAGTATTTTATTTCAAAAATGTTAATTTTCTTTACATTTAATACATTGTATTGATTGTCAAAAATGGAAATTTACATTTTATTACCAAAATATGAGAACAAATATTTATTTACTAAACAAAACTGAAATTATTTTTATTATTTTTTGTCGTGAGATTTGAGTGCAAATACGGTATAACACAACAAATATTATATACTTTTTTATGTTTTTGACAATATAAATATTTGCACATTTATTAATGCATTGAAACACTTTAGTTACAAATTACATATTAAAAATATGTTACCCGCAGATATAATGTCCTTGATCATTTTAGTTTTGTGTCTATTGTTTGCCACGTTTTTAATTATAACATAATATAAATTCAATCTAATAGTTGGATGCAGTCATTGGATGCCGTCATTCAAGAAATTCATGCAATATTTAATGCATTTTCGACGAAATCTTTTGGTTTTGCTTTCAATCTCCTTGTGATCTATAATTGAAATGTTTTAATACATTGTAATTAAAGTAGACTTCAAATAGACTCTGTTATTGACATATTCTGTGTTTGATTTTAATGACAATTTATTATTATTATTAGTAATGAAATAATATTTTATTGATTGACATTTAATTAATATTATATTTTATTTACATTTTATGTATATTTAATTAATAATATCACATACCATATATATTTTTAATGTTTATTAATATAATTGTAATATAGTTATGATCATAAAAATATTATTATATAAAATTATTAGATTAATTGATATTGATTTGTTACATATTATTTGTCAGAAACAATAAATAAAATTTATAAAATCAATAAATATATAAATAAAACTATATATAAACGTAAGTTAAGACATGATTATCACTACAAAACAATTTCTTAATCTACAGACGATATAACATGAAAATTACAATAAATTATATTTATTTATTAACAATGATTATAATTAAAACAAAGTGTTAAAAGTTAGGCCACATTGTTTATATATTTCAGGTAAATTAACTATATGAAAATGAAGGCCTGAATGTATCAGTTTATTATAAATTATATTATAATAATTATAATAATATGTGTATAATTAAATATATGGTCGGAAAAATAATGTGAAATTAAATTACTTCTGGTCTGTGATTGATCTCAAAAATGAGTCCAAAAAATTTTTTCGCCTCTTTTCTGAAATTTTCATTTAGCCAGCAATAGACGAATGGACTGTCAGTTCGTATGGTTTGTATGAGAAAGAAAACAGACATTTGTTTAGAGATTTAATTATCTATTTATATATAGTGTTCATATAATTTGCTGTAAAGAAAATACTTAATCTATTTATTTGTTCATTATTTGGTAATATAATAAAAAAAATTAAAATAATAAGCGATAATAAATGTAACAATAATTATAATAATTTCTATGAATAATAATAATCACTCACTTATAGCAAACTGAAGACATTGCGAGCCAATGGCAGAAGAGAAAGATGTAATAATTGGCTCTTTTTATAACACCGAAGTCGAGCAGAAAATAATAGATATTGAATGGCAGCCAACAGAGTGCGAAAATGGTGACCACGAGAATGAGCATGGCTATTCGGCGCCGTTTCTTACTCGTGATCTGTCGGGCCCTGTCCTCCGTCGCCTCCCCTACCCTTCCCTGCGATAGGATTGTGAACGCGATTCTCGTGTATATAATGCCCGCACACGACAGCGGTATTAAGTATTGGGTGACAAATGTGACCAGGGTTAATATTATACGCAAATTGTACTCACTATCGGGCAATTGTGTGATACAGCGACGGATATTACCCGGATATACGCGGATAACGTTGAATATGGTGTGGGGCAGTGCGTGGAGGGCCGCCAACAACCATATCATAAGCAATAGTATAATGAAATGAGCGCTTAATTTATTGTCGGATCGGTTGGACTGTTGCGGACGTGTCTTATATACGGCTCGCCAACGATTGATAGCGATTACAGCCATTGTAAAGCTCGAGACATACACACAGTTTGCCTGAACAAAAGCGACCGAGGTGCAAAAAAATTGCCCAAATATCCAATCAGTCAATATTATGTCCACAACAGTAAATGGTATGTTAAATGTGGTCATCAATAGGTCGGAAACGGCTAACACTGCGATCAACATATTGGTTGAGTTTCGCATTTTTGGCTGAAATGCTATCGTTTTGAATACGAGTGTATTTCCCACTAAAGACACGATCACTATCAGTGAATACGAGATTGTAATCAATGTGTTTTGAATATACTCTTCACTATCACTTTCACTGTCCATTTCTTTCACAATTGTCACGTTATTAGACATACCATTCAATGAAGTTTTATTATATTTTAATAAAAATTGGGTTATGTTTTCAAACAATGATAATTCAGCCAATGAATCCATATTTATAGCTAAGTTTAAAAATAAATTATTATTCTTGTAAAATAGCAATATTATTACACATAAACCACTGTTTTTCTCACACAACAAGTCTTCACTGAAGTTTACATTCAATCTGAGGCCAGATCTGAGTGTAAGGGAGAGAAGAATCACTTTTTGTAAGAATAATAACTTTTTCTGTGAATAGAGATTTTGGGCACAAAAAAAGTGAATAAAACTACAGAAATAATACTCAAAGAATTGAGAGAATCACAGAATATATAGACAACGATATAGAGAGCGAGTGAGCCGTGCGTTTGCTTCGCGCAAATCCTTAGCCAACACTACTGTTCAGACCCTCAACACTACGAAGACTACCCTCTCGTACGCATACAATCGATATTATACTATATTATTGAACAGCGAAGGCATTAAAACATTTAAAATATTACACGTGTTTTCACTTTTTCTCAATATCTCGAAATTTGTATTTGCTTTGAATGTCAATTCTAAAGGCTCTTATAGAAAGCCAAAGTATTTTTATCATAATATTTCCACTCTTTATAAGTGTATTGCACTTAATATATCATTAAATCTGTATGAATACCATACAAGAATTGAATGCATAATCCAATTATTTTTATAGTAATTCATGTGAATTTCATCGCATGATAAGTATATAAGACTTTTTTATTTTGTTTCCTAATATTTGTGCTAACAATAGTAGGAAATGTTCTTTCATTGAGAGCGATGTTAGCGTTGAATTTAATTAAGTATTTGTTTATTAGTATTAGAAACCAATTCATACGATACATAGGAATCTTGTCTTTTTATATCACATCAAAAGAAATGGGAATTTTATTTTCCAAATCACAAAATTTTAAAATAATTTTTTTTTAGCATTTCTTTGTAAAAACATGTTTTTATTTCAAACTATTTTTTCTCTAGATTAAATGGTTTGGCATTCATAAGCTATGATTAAATTCTTGTTCACTTATTTTTATTCAGTTTATATTAAATATAACGTCAATTTTTATGTCTATAACAAATCAATATACTGTATATATTTTTATAATCATTTTATTTCAGTAGAAAGTATTTTTTGTTTGTTTGTATTCATTATAAATTCCCAATAATAACAACAAAGGATTGATTTTAATTTTGAAAAATCAATACTTTTAACGTTACAAAAAACTCCAAAAATTGTTATTAATAACTTAGAAATGTTGTAATTTTAAAATGAATTAATATTATTTAGAAAAATAAAATGAGCATAATCTAAAATTGCAGTAAATTTTACAAATATTTATCTTTCCAACTCTCTC